TGCTTTTACTTATTTTAACTGCTATTCATTTTAAGGTATGTAGCTCTTCTTTTTTTTTTTTTTTTTCCACTGTTCAAGTATAGTTATCTCCATTTTCCCGCCACCAGTTCATAGCAACACAATTTACAATAGCCAAGTGCTGGAAACAGCCTAACTGCCCTTCAGTAAATGAGTGGATCAAAAAGCTGTGCTACATTTACACAATGGAATACTACACAGCAGAAAGAAAGAAGGAGCTCCTACCCTACGCGACAGCATGGATGGAACTGGAGAGCATTGCTAAGTGAAATAAGCTGGGTGGTGAAAGAAATATGATCTCACCTATAAGTGGAACCTAATCAACAAAACAAAAGCAAGCAAAATATAACTGGAGACATTGAAATCATTATTTCAATGACCACAAACTGATGGTAACAAGAGGGGAGGGGTGAGGGAGATAATGGGGGAAAGAAGGGGAAGGGTCATCAAGGAACACGTATAAAAGATCCATGGACAAAACCAAAGCGGGGGTAGGATTGAGGGTGGGAGGTGAGCTAAAATTCTAATGAGTAGATAAAGGCTGAGTGTGGGCTACCATGAGAATATAGGTCCCTAGGAGATGCAGTCGTAAAGGGAGTTTGCAGCCACCTGCCAGATCATCACAGTGGTTATTCATGAGAATGACTGGAGGCAGGGTAGGAGACTGCAGAAAGCCGTTCTGTGATCAGGCTTGGGAGAGGGAGTCACCTGTACTGTGGGAGAGGCAGAGGTTACACCCAGTCACTGCTCCCTTATGGAATGAAAGTGTTCAGATGGTGGCTACACCCAGTTCTCCTCCCTTGTGGAATAAAACTGTTAAGATATCTAGTAGATATAATGTATATTTATTTATATACATAAATAATGCTGTTATGAATGTTTTTGTATATGTCTTTTGGACAAAAACACTAAGTAGATACTTAGACATGGATTGCTGGCTCATATGCTATACATATGTTCACATTTAATAGATATTGTCAAATGCTTTTCCAAGTTGTAGTAATTTATGCAAACAATCTTTACAAGCAAAATCCTACAATTTGTGACAACATAGATAAACCTTGAGGACATTGTGCTAAATGAACTAAGCCAGACACAGAAACACAAATACCGTATGATCTCATTTGTATGTGAAATCTAAAAAAGTCAAGCCTGTCATAGTAAAGAGTAGAATGCTCATTGCTGGGGGCTGACAGTGTGGGGGAAATAGATCTGATCAAATACTACAAAAGTTCAGTTATGCAGGATGAATAAATTCCAGAGGTCTAATATGCAGTACAGGTAATAATACTGTGTTGTATACTTGGAATTTTCACACACACACACAAATGTAACTATGTGAGGTGATGGATATGTCAATTAGTTTGATTTTGGTAATCATTTCACAATGTGTATATATATGTATATATCAAACATCACATTATACATTTTAAATATATACCATTTTTACTTGTCAAGTATACTTCAATGAAGCTGGAATCAATCAGTCAAAATTGTAGAAATGAGATACCCTTTCATTCCTATGTCCTTCAATGGGAGAACAAATAAACAAATGTGGTACATTCAATGGAATACTACTCAGCATTAAAAAGGAATGCGCTGTTAATATACAACAATATGGCTGAACCTCAAAGCTTTATACTGAATAAAAAGTTTTTCTCCAAAGGTTACATACTTCATGATTACATTATGTGACTTTCTCAAAAACAGAACATCACAATGCTGCTAGGAATTAGGGGTATGTGTGAGGAGACAACATAAAGGTGTTTTGGGGGTTGATGAAACTTCTTGATATTTTGCTTGTAGTCTATACATGTGTTAAGTTTAATATAACTGTATACCACAAAAGGAAAAAGTAAATATCACTGGATAGTAATTAAACAAAAACCAAAATAATATGAAAAAAATTAATGGTTGACAGGTTTTCTTTCTTTAACACAGAAAATTTTTCTCCTTTGTCTTCTGGTGTCCTTTGTTTCTGAGGACAAATCAGTAATCATTTCAGTTTATCTATTTGAAATGTGTTTTTTTCTACTTTGACTATTTTCATTGTTCCTGTTGTATTTAAATATTTTGATTACAATGTTTCTAGATGTGAGTTCCTTGGTATTTATACTGCTAGGTTTTTATGAGATTTTAAAATCTGTAACTAAATATTTTTCTGAATTAAAAATAATTCTATCCCATTCCGTCTCTTCTACTTTTAGGATTCCAATTACATGCATGTTAGGCCATATGTCATACAGATTTCTGATATTATACTTATTTTTATTTAATCTTTTTTATGCATTCTGATTGGTTAATTTCTTTAATTTCACTGATGCTTTCCTTTCTTATATTTGTTCTACCATTAATTAGGAACCTACAAATAGGAAAGTACAGATAGACAGATGCCCCTTCAAACCCTACCCTAGTTTTCTCAATTATTAATATCTTGCATATTTTACACTTGGTATATTGTATATTTTCAGAAAGGTATTAATTTCTTCTAAGTCATTCAATTTTTTGGAGTATAAAATTCTTAAAATTCTCAGGATATTTCACAGTTCTGTGTCATCAGGTGTAGTGTCTTCTCTTTCATTTCTAATTTTATTTATTTGAGACTTTCCTCTTTCTTAGTCCACCTAAAGTTTTGACAATATTATTGGGTTTTCCTAAAACCTAATTATAGTTTTGCTATTTTTCCTATTCTCTATTTTATGTATTTGTCCCCTAAACTTTATATTTCTTTCCTTCAGCTAACTTTAAGCTCTGTTTTTATTCTAGTTCTATGAGGTATAAAATTGAGTTGTTTATTTGAAATCTTTCTTTTTTTATTTAAACATGTTTTTATTGTTATTCAATTACAGTTGCCCTCATTTCCCCCCATTACTCTCCCTTGCCCTACCCACCCCCCTAAAACATTCTTAATTCTGATTTTGCTGTATCTTACACATTTTTGTGTGTTGTGTTATTTGCATTTATTTCAAGAAACTTTTAAATTTATCTTTAGATTTGACATACTGGTTGTTCAGGAGTGTGTAGTTTAATTTCCACATATTTTTGAGTTTTTCCATTTTCCTTCAGTCATTGATTCCTTTTTTTCTTTTTTCATTTTTATTGAATTTATTGGGGTGACACTCATTTACAAAGTTATACAGAATTCAGGTGCATAACTTGTACACTATATTGTATATTTAGTACCTCAAATCAAGTCTCTGTCCATCAACATTTATCCCCTCTACAGCTGTCTCACCCCTGACCCCTGGCAATCACCAAATTGTTGTTCATGTTCATGAGTATTTTCTCTTTTTTTTAAAAAAATTGTTGACACTGTTACTGATGTCCCCCATTTTGCCCTCCTTTGATCCTGTCCCTGCTTCTGGCCTTCAGCACATTATTGTCCATGGCCATGTGCTATGCATATATGCATATGTATTTCTTGGCTAATCCCTTCCAGTCTCCCCCTCTCCTTCCCCTCTGAGATCTGTCACTCTGTTCCATGTATCCATGCCTCTGGTTTTATTTTGTCCATCAGTTTATTTTATTCATTAGATTCCATATATAAGTGAGATCATATGGTATGTGTCTTTCTCTGATTGACTTATTTCACTAAGCATAATAATCTCTAGGTCCACCCATGCTGTGTAACAAAGGGTAAGAGTTCCATCTTTTTTCCAGCTTTTTCCATCTTTTTTCCATTGTGTAAATGTACTACATCTATTTGATCCACTCATCTACTGATGGGCATTCAGTCCATTTCTAGACCTTGACTATTATAAATAATGTTACCATTGAACATAGGGGTGCATATATTCTTCCTGATTGGTGTCTTGGGATTCTCAGGATATATTCCCAGAAGTGGATTTCTGGGTCAAAAGGCAACTCCATTTTAAATTTTTTTCCAGAAAACTCCATATTTGTTTCTACAGTGGCTGCATCAGTCTGCATTCTCACCAGCAGTCACTAGGGTTCCCTTTTCTGCACATCTTGGGCAGCACTTGTTTTTGATTTATTGATAACAGCCATTCTGACAGGTATGAAGTGATATTTCATTGTGGTTTTAATTTGCATCTCTCTGACAATTAGTGATGTTGAGCATTTTTTTCATACATCTATTGGCCATTGGTATGTTCTCTTTGAACAAGTGTCTATTCAGGTCTTGTGCCCATTTTTTAAAATTGGATTTTTTGTTTTTATGGTATTGAGTTGTATCTATAGATTGCTTTGGGTAGTATGGACATTTTAATGATGTCAGTTCTTCAAACCCATCAACATGGTATATGCTTCCACTTAATTGTATCTTCCTCAGTTTCTTTCTTCAATGCCCTATACTTTTCTGAGTAAAAATATTTTACCTCCTTGGTAAAATTTGTCATAGGCATTGAGAGTTTTTTGATTACTGCTTCAATTTCATTGCTAGTAATCAGTCTGTTTAGATTTTATAATTCTTCATAGTTCAGTCTTGGAAAGTTGTATGCTTCCAGAAATTTATCCATTTCTCCTAGGTTGTCCACTTGTTGGCAAATAATTGTTCATAGTATTTAATAATTATTTGTCTTTCTGCAATGTAGGTTGTAATTTTTCCCTTTTTAACTTTTGATTTTATTTATTTGGGCTCTCAGTTTTTTTTCTTGATAAATTTGGCTAAAGTTTTGTCATTTTTGTTTAATAATGTGTCAGTTTAAATAGACATCCAAATAAATGTACAGTAGTAATTGGCTGATATGCCTCTGACTTAAGAAACTATAGAGCTAACCTGTTTTTTTCACTCTATTTTTCTAGCAACATACATTGAAGAACTTGGATAATTTCTTTTTTAAAAAAAGATTTTATTTATTAATTTTTAGAGAGAGGGGACGGGAGGGAGAAATACAGGGAGAGAAACATGGATTTATGAGAGAAATATCAATTGGTTGTCTCTCGCAGGTGCCCCAACCTGGTATCAAACATGCAACCCAGACATGTACCCTGACCAGGGATCACACTGGCAATCTTTTGCTTTGCAGGACAACATTCAACCAACTGAGCCATGCTGGTCAGGATGGATCATTTCTTGTGTAGTGTTTTCCATGTCTACATTTTGCTGTTTGCATATCTGCCGAATCTTTTTCTTATATCCTACAAATTAGAGGATAAAATAGAGGTTTAATCAGATTCAAGGTTATTCTTTTTGTCTTTCTGTGATATTAGCAGCCATTGGTGTTCAGTGACTAGGCTATTAATATATTGTTACATTATTTAAGTAATCAGTTTATTGGCAACTATTCCAACACTGTGTATTTATTTTTAAATTAATATTTTATTGACTAAATTTCTTTACTTATTTCATATATATTATTGACTCATCTACTTTTTAATATAGTCTCATTTCCATTTGAATTTTTCTTAAATAATTTTCATATAGTCTATGGTAATGGTGAATTCTTTATGTCCTTGACTATTATTTTCTCTTACTTATAAGAAAGTATTTAGAATAGGTAAAATTGCAGGCTAAAAACACATTTATCCATTAGGATCTCATATATATTGTTTTTGTTCCTTCTAACACCTAGTGATATGCATAGATATTCACTGTTCATTTAATACTATGTTCACTTAAGAAAGTTATACCAACAAAACAATGAAAATTACTCATGATTTTGTGAATTTAAATTCATTTGCAGTAAATTCTTAGGGGAAATTATATATTTGAATAATTGTTGGCCCCATACATATCAAAATTTTTCCATAAAAATATCAGAAGAATTTTTAGCTTCCTACCTATTACTTATGATTCCTGGCTGAACAAAAATGGAGAAATGGTGAAATTCATTTAAGGAGGCAGGATGAGCAGAGTTAAATAATGTTAAAATTGAATCAAATCTTTGTAATTTTCAGTGAACAAAATAACGTAAGGATAAATTAAACTATGTGTACAACAATGTTACAACATGAGCTTGGAGAGAGCTGCACTGTGCTTTTTTAGGGTGGTAGAGATAGAGATGTCAACATAAAAATTGCCCTACGTGTTGCAGGAGGACAGTGGGGAATCTGAGAAGAACAGCTACGATTCTTTGTGTTACTAGCTGAAGTGCAGAGCAGAAGTCTGAAGATCAGGGCAGAAAAAGAGTCAGCCTTTGAGCACTTGAGATGAGACAAGTTAACCTTAGTGTATAAATATATAACTTGATAAAACATAGTTTGGGACTTAGATTGTTTTCCTTCTGAAAAGAGGATGAACCTTGGATGAATAAGCAGGCAGAAAGTGGAGACTTACAAGAGATAAAATATAAATGTATGCTGGAAAAGTGACAGATTAGTCATGACTAACCCTGTCCACTTACCTCTCATTGTCACATACAAACCAGAGATAAATATACTATAATATATCATCATGGAAAATATTATTATTATAATATCCCATATCAAGTCGTTGTAGACGGAAAACACAGGATCTGGAAGAGAGACTGAGTAAGGCATAAAAATTAGAAAATTAGTTAAGTGAGAGCTCGGAGAAGAGAACATTCTGGAACCAGTATTTAACATAACTTTACTTGGTCAGATAACTTATTCTTTAGAAGTTATATTTTAGTTCTAAAATACACTAATCCCATCAACCATAACAACTATATAAAATAGATCCTTTAATATTTTTTTGTTATCTTACTAATTTTGAGTTGATGTTATAACAAAATGAAAGTTAGATGAGTAGATTTTATGTTTGGGAGAGTTGTGGATATTGGGGGATGAAACAGATTGTCACAGACAGAACGGACATCCCTCAAAGAGACCCATTCTCCAATTCCTGGACCTGTAAATGTGTTACATTACATGAAAAAAGAGACTTTGCAGATAAAATTAAGGTTATGAAGCTTAAAATAAGGACATTACCCAGGAATATTTAGGTGGGGCAAATCTAATCATGGAAGCCCAAAAAAGCAGAGACTTTTCTCTGGCTGCAGTCAGAAATATGTGGCAGAAGAAGTAAGAGATTTCAAATGCTGAAATGGACTTGATCCACCATTGCTGATAGAGTATGATAAAAAGCATGTGAAGAAATCCAGGCAGCCTCTTGGCCCCCTGCTGACAATCAGCAAAGGAATGGGAGTAAAGTCCTATAACTGCAAGGAATTGATACTGTCCAACAAACTAAATAAATTTGGAGATAGAGGAGTGAGGCTTTGAGTATAATATATCCTGGTGTAAAATTCCTTTTCATCATGAACTGTGAAACTAAAAAACATTACCTGCTTTAAAATATAATGGTGCAATAAGCATAGGAAAACAGTTATAGACATTCTCAATGAAAGGTAAAGAAAATGAGAAGTAGTTATTACACTCAAGCAATTTCAGAATTCAACTGGGCAAAATCCATTAGGTTTCAAGTTCTAAGGATAATCCTTTGTGACTCATGGCTCTGACCTCTGGGCCTGGAGTCATTGTTTAATTTTCATAAAGGATGGTACATGGTAGTAGGCTGAGTAATGGTTTCCAAAGATATTCCACACCTAATGCATGGTACCTTATGTGGTAAAGGAGTATTTGCAGGTGTCATTAAGTTAAGGATCTTAAGATGGAGAGATTATTCTGAATTATTTGGCCAGGCCCAATGCAATCACTAGTACCCTTGTAAGAGGGAGGTAGTTTATTTTACACACAGAGGAGAGGATGTAAAGACAGAGCAGAGAGAGATTTAAAGATGTTATGCTACAGGTTTTGAAGATGGAAGAATGAGCCCTGAACCAAGAAATGTGAAGATGAAGCTCTAGAAACAGTAAAAAGCAAAGAAATGGATTTTTTGTAGACCATCTGGAGGATGCAGAGCCTTTGTGACACCTTGGATTTAGCTGAGTGGCACCTATCTTGCTCTGAGACATTAAGTTTGTGGTAATTCAATACAGTGGCCACAGGAAAGTAGTATGTGTTTGCAGCTTAGTAGTTTTGTTGTCCTCTTTCCTGTTATAAAATTTTGGAAGTTCAACAGTCTTATTTTATCGTTCTTGTCCCTTATAGCAGAAATTGGTAGTGTTTCTGCTGAAAAAACATTCTTAAGAGCCTTGATGTTTTCCTATGTATGGCATAGGGACAAACGCCATTAGATGAGAGATTACTCAACACATCTTTCCTGCAAAATATCATCTTTATTTCTGGTTTCTGCTGATATTGGTGAGGGTACCCATAAATCACACATCTAATATAATCTAATCATGCAACCCTCTGCATGATTGAATACTCTGATTTTTTGTTCCATCCAAGACTTCAGCAAAAGATTTCCCAAACACACCCTTTGTTTTCTCTATAAAGCATACTTCCCTGACAATGGTTCTCCTAATTTTAGCATCTTTTACGGTCAGAATTACTGAGAACTTCCTACATCATCAAGTCCTGGTTCCTTTCTGCTTAACAGTTGTTATGTCAACCTTTTTTTCTCTTACATTTTACTATAAGCAGCAAAAAGAAAGTAGACCACGTCTTCACATGGGAAATTACAAAACACTTTCAGAAGAATAAAAATAAAAACAGAATGTAACAAAGTGTATGGGAAGCATATAAAACAGCACTTAAAGGAAAAATTATAATTATAAATGTCTAGACTCAAAAAGAAGAAAAGTCTCAAATCTATAAGCTAAATTTACACCATAAGCACACTACATTCAAAGCAGATAGAAGGTAAGAAAATGACAAAAATTTAAGTAGAAATAAGTAAAATAGATAATAGAAAAAACAATAGAGAAAATCAATGAAACCAAGAATGAGTTACTTGAGAAGATAAACAAAATTAACAAACTTCATTAAGATAAAAAAGAAAAAGAGAAAAGACTCTAATTAGTAAAATTAAGGGTGAAAGTGGGGACATAATTTCCAAGATAACAAATAAAAAGGACTTTAAAGGAACATTCTGAAGAAATGGATACTAAAATTTTAGATAACTTAGAGGAAATTGACAAATTAATAGAAAGATCTAAACAGTGAAACTGACTCAGGAAGGAAAAGAACACGTGTATAGACCTATAACATGAAAAAAATTGAAGTAATATGTTTAAAAATTCTTTGCAAAGGAAAGCTCAGGCTCAAATGGCTTCACATGTAAATTCTACCAAACATTTAAAGAATTTATACTAATCAGTCACAAACGTTTTCAAAATATAAAAAAAGACAAAACTACTTCCCAAATGATTGGATGAAACCAGTATTACTCTTATATTAAAACCACACAAAGATATCACGGGAAAAAAATTGCAGACAAATATATCTTATAAATATAGACACAAAATCCTGAACCAGAAGAAATTATTTCTCAATTTAAAAAATAACAATAGCAAACAAAATTGTGCCTTATATAAAAAATAACATTTGCCATAACAATATGGGGCTTGTCTCAGGAAGGAAAGGTTAGTTTAACATCTGCAAATTAATGTACATAATACTACAATAAATAAAGAATCAAACAACATGATTATCTCAATAGATCAGAAAAAGCATGTGATAAAATGCAAGCCCTTTTCATGATAAAAACAATGAAAAAGTCAGGAACAGAAAAGAACTTTCAATTTGATTTCTTTTTTTTTTTAAAGTGTTCCATGAACACACCCACAGCTAACATCAAAGTATGTAGTGAAAGAGTTAATGATGTCCTTTTATGATCAGGAACGATACAAGGATGCCTGCTCTAACCACTTATTATATATTCAATGTTCACTGGATTCCCTACTTAGAGCAATTAGGCAAGAATAAGAAAGAACCAGTATCCAGATTGTAAAGGAAAAAAATAAAATCAATTCACAGATCATATAATGTTATATTGTAGAAAATCCTAAGGAATCCGTGCATAAACACACACAAAAAAAATTAGGACAAATAAGCCATGAATAACTGAATTTAGCAATGTTTCAGGATAAAAGATCAATATACAGAAATCTGTTGTACTTCTATAGTTACAGATTTTTACTTATTTATTTTTAGAGAGAGGAGAAGGGAGGGAGAAAGAGAGGGAAAGAAACATCAGTGTGTGGTTGCTTCTCACATGCCCTCTACTGGGGACCTGGCCTGGAACCCAAGGATGTGCCCTGGCTGGGAATCAAACCAGTAACCCTTTGCTTCACAGTCTGGCACTCAGTCCATGGAGCCACACCAGCCAGGCGTACTCCTATAGTTAGTAATGGTCAAGATAAATGTGAAATTCAGAAAACAGCATTAAAAAGGATAGCATTTGACACACAGAAGCAGGAGCAGTGACTCAGAGATCCAAAGGCTCATTTGTTGCAGGGACAGTGAACCAACTTCAAGGAACAGCATTTCACAGACATGCTAACTTGTCATTTAAAAGCAAGGCTCTTGGTTACAGGTTCTAGATGGTGGAGTAGGAAGATCTTGAGCTCATCTGCTCTCATTGACATCAAAACTACAACTAATATAGAAAAGCTATCTCTGAGAATGACATGAAAACTAGTAGAACAGATTTTATACACCTATGGTTATAAAGAAAAAGCCATATTGAGAGGGGTAGGAGGGAGGGGTACAGACTGAGTAGAGTCAGACCCACCCTAACCTCATTTCCTGTGGAATGCCCCACAAATGGGAGACATATCACAATCATGGAGGTCCCCACTGAAGAGAAAAGGGTTTGAGCCCTGGCCTTGAGGACCAGCACCAGAAAGAGGAGGCTGTAACACTTGGCTTTGAAAATAAGTGGGCCTTATGACTAGGAGAGCCAAACGGCTATAGAAAACAAAGGTTGTGTTCTTTCTGAGTCCCAATGAAAAGGAAGCAGTTTGAAAAGCACCTGGGTCATATATGAAATTGACACATTTACTAATTTTAGGGTGCATGCTGGAAGGACATGGATCTGTTAGAACTTTCTGCAGGGACGGAAGTACTGGCGGGTGCCATTTTTTCCCTTTCTTTACCCTCCTTCCACCTAGCTGGTCTGATGTCAGCAGGTGCTATTTATGACACTCTCCATTAATCTTGCTAACACTATTCACCTCACTCTGGCATTTTCCTCAGGTGCCACCCAGCAGGCACCTCTCCAAAACAGCTCCTGTGCTGTCATACCTGGTGGGCAGCCTTTGTTGTCAGCGGCACACAGCAGTGTGTCTGCAACAATCAAGGCTGGGGCTTGCAGCCAGCCACACTTAAAGCTTACCCTGTATATCAGCATGACCACAACACTTCCAGCTAGGCCTCACAGACAGGAGGGCCAGGGACCAGCCTCAAATGCCAGTGTGTTTTTAGCAGTTGTGGCCCAACTACAACAGCAGGACACACTTGTTCACACAGGAAACACCTCTGGAGCACTCAGCTCTGCTGACAAATGGGGAATCCACCACTGGACCCCACAGGACACTTTCTAAATAAGGCCACTTTTCTAAGACCTATAAATGTAGCCGATCTACATAAAACATAAAAACAAACAAGCAAAAGGAGGAGACAAAAGAATATGTTCCAAACAAACAAACAAACAAAC